GCAGATTTATCATACAGGAAATCTTAATTTTGATGCATCATGTCCCCAAGGTTCATTTCTTTACTTCTTTGTTTATTTAGGTTTTGTTGTTCTTGTTGTTGTTAATGTATGAAAGACTTTGGCTTTATTGGATAAAATGTCTAGGCAGGTTTCTCAGCATGTATTCATTTTGGGGCTGACCCAGTTCAGATTACAACACTCAAGTTGAGAGACTCATAACTATCTATAATTCTAGATCCCATATACATACTCTCATGCATTAACATATACAAAAATGGCAATAAACTTGTTTTCAGAAGTGCTTGTTGCTTATAAATCAGATAGAGCAAACCTAGTTGCTTTGGGTGTATACTGATTCTTTGCATTTCTTAGATTCATTATTCTAGACAGTTTCATCATGGAGTGAGACCCAGGCAGGGCACATGGTAGGCAGTTGCTCTACCACTGAGCTGCTCCCTTCCTTAATAACTCTAGTTTGATATGACAAATTATACCAAGAAAGTATTTTTCCTTGGTATATTTTCAGTAAATGGATTAAGGCATTTTTGTTTCATGTATCCTATCTTTCAACAAAGACTCAAGCTTTTATTGTGGATAGCATTGAGACTGCATGTAAGGAAGTGTCTTTCTTTTCTTCACAAAGCCTAAAAATTGTTTTAGATCAGTTATTTTACCCTGTTTTTAAATTTGTTTTAATGTATTAATCAATATATATGAGTTAGTTTCACTGGATATTTTTCCCAGAATTCCTCTATGTAGATCAGGCTGGTCTCACAATGGGGTAATCCTGCTACATTTCAAGAGGTGGGATTACAGGTGTGTATCCAGTAAAATATCATTTGTCTTACAGTTATTTTTATACATAATATATGTATAAATTAATGATTGTGTATTGCAGCTAATGTGAAATCTGCTAACAAATGTAGCTCTTGCTTACAGGTAGACAGTCATCGGTCTGGACATTTGTAGATGAATTTCTAAATGGTCTTATTAAATAAAAAAACTTGGAGCCAAATATAGGGGTGAAAGCCTTAAGGAGATTAGGGAAATAGGAAAAGCCACCAGCCAACATTACCTCACCAACTCTGCAGCTTCCAAATGTGAGTTATTTCTTCTCTTACAAATGCATTTATTGTTTTGCTGTTCTGCTCTCTCATTGGCCATCTTAGCCCAGCTACTTCACTTCCTTGTCCCTCACATTCTTGTCATTATCTGTCTGTCTGTACAGACCTCCATGCCTTTATGGTTTGTACTGGGATTAAAGGCATGTATCACCACATGTGGCTCTGTTCCCTAGAATGGCTTTGAACACCCAAAACCCCTGCCTGCTAAGTGATCAGATTAAGGGCATGTGCTGCCACTGCCTGACTTTTGTGTTTACTATAGTGGCTGGATTTCCTGTGATCTCCAGGAAAGCTTTATTAAAGCACAAATAAAATATCACAACATTATTTCAACACAAATTAAAGATCACCACAGATGATCCCTGTTCTTTAGTTGGAAGTTAGGATTTTTGAGTTCAGATTACCTAAATTCAAAATACATTTTCAGCCCAAGGGAGGAATGGAGACATTATATATGTTTACGGGAAGCTATTATTTCTCTTCTATAACAGAAACAATGTACCAGGAAGATCCAGATAAATACAAATTAAAGAATAAATTTCTCTGCAGTGCTGGAGTATGTTCTTCTAGGCCACTGAGAACAGCCTGTGTTCCTTGGAGGGACACCCAGTACCCTGCTTTCTCACAGCACTAGATCTGCTTAGCCAGCTTGGCTACTATGAGCATTTTGGGATTTGCTGTGAATGTAGGGGCCACGGATAAAAAGGAGGTGAGCAAGAGATGAAGGATAGCCAGATTTCATGAATGGCCTAGTCTCTAATCAAGCTAGGTAAAACAACATATGCAATCTTGTTGCTTGTTTTTATCCTTTTGCTTCTTTGTGTTTATAGCTTAAACCATTATGTAACCACTTCCACCCCACCTTTTTCCTAGGAAATATCTTACTAGAAGATAATATCTTTTATTGCTTTCCTATGGTTGAACTTTGCCTACACATATATTTATGTACTGCTATACTTTCTGGTACCTATAGAGATCAGAAATGCGTGTCAAATTCCCTGCAACTGAAATTAAAGATGGTTGTGAGTTTCCATATGGATGCTAGAAACCAAACCCAGGTCTTCAAGAAAAGTAATGAGTGCTTTTAATTGCTGAGCCTTTCCTCAATTCCCTCACCTTTTACCTATATCACAAATCTGATTGATCTTTTCTGTATTTGATATTATTGCTATTGTTTGGTTAGTTTAGCTTTTTTTGTTTTTTGTTTTTGTTTTTTTTTTTCAAGACAGGGTTTCTTTGTGGAGGTTTGGAGGCTTCCTGGTACTCGCTCTGTAGACAAGGCTGGACTCAAACTCAAAGAGATCTGCCTTCCTCTGCCTCCCAGTTGCTAGGATTAAAGGCAAGTGCCACCACTATGGAAATATTTTATTTGTGCTGAAATGTGATTTTATTTGTATGCTAATAAATAAAGTTGCCTGGGGGTCAGAGCTAATAGCAAGGCATGTAGTAGAAGTCTGACAGTGGTAGCACATGCGCTTAATCTGATCACATGTCAGGCAGATCTCTGTGTGTTCAAGGATACAGCCAGCTTGGAGGCACATGCCTTTAATCCAAGTACCGACCATAGAGACCTGGAGGTCTGTATAGACAGGAAGTGATGAGGAGGTCATGTGGTTGAGTTTAGACCAATGAGAAGGCAGAGCAGAAAGTCAATAAAAATACAGACACACAGGAAGTAGGTCTCTTTTCTCAGGGGAAGGATGGCAGCGGCTGGTAAGCTAAAGGCTATTCACTAGTGATCTGACCTCTTGGGCTTTTAAATCTTTATTTGGCTCTGTGTTTTTTATTTAATAAGACTGTTTAGAATTGCACCTACACACCACTGCCTGGCTTAGTTTAGTTTTTTGAGACAGGATCTCTGATATCCCAGAATGACCTTGACCTCATTTGAATCTTTGAACCTCTGATTCTTCTATGTCTCATGAAGTGCTGGGATTACAAGTGTGTCAGTCTTCACTAGCCAATAAGGGCCTCCAGTCTGACCAGCTATTCAGAATTGGTGGAGGGCTCTTGCTGGGGCCAGGATGCAGACTTGGCTTTGTAGCAGGCTGGGCTTCAGTGCTTTTGTGTGACATTCTGTGAGTGCTGCTTCAAGGAGTTGAGAGGGGAGCATGGGCAATCTGGAATGTCATGGTTACAAGGGGCTGTTGTCCCCAGATGGGTAAAGTGGATGATGAGCCTCTGGAGCTGGTGTGGCTCTGCTCTCTGGGGTATAGTGGGAGCGAGCAGACAGATTTGGTGTCTTGTGAGGTCCCATGTGTTTCTTGTAACTCCCTGGAACCAGATGCTTCTCTCTGAATAACTTTACTCCATGAACTCCCTCTGTGCACAGCATTGGGAGCAGGGAGCTATGTGAGGAAACATTTTTGTAGTCCAAGGCAACAGGCTCTCAGTACATCCAGGGAAGCAGGTTGCCAAATTCATAGAGGCCTAGTTTTTCTAGTATCTTCTAGACATTTTGCACCTCACATTTAACATTCAGGTGAAAGATTCATTTGTATTTAATTTTGTGGAAGTTGTAAATGATATTTCTTATTTTGGGTAGCACTCCACTTCCTGTGATGTAGAAGAAAGGAATTGTTGGTGTAAGGGGTTTTCTCAATGCTCAGGAGATGGTAAGTCACAGAAAAAAATTAGCTAAAGGATGACTACCTCTAAAATACCTCAAAGACAAGTATATCCTAAAGAGACCTGTTACAGCTTAGGATGCTAGCATATACATTTCTTCACCAAGATTGTCCAGATATATGGCTCCAAAGAAAGGGAGACACTCCTAATTTACAATCAGACACTAGACCCATCCCCATATCAAAGAACAGGACTCTAACCAGTTGCTCAAGGGGACATTACAGGATCACAACCAACATTCAGGCCTGGTGTGCCATAAAGGTTCAGTTTTCTTCTTATGAAAAGCATAGTATTGAAAGACAGGCAATGAGACACAAGGTGACCTGCCAGTCAGAAGTGGTGCAGGGTCCTTCTGGTCACCAGCTTCAGGCTTGTCTTTGAAGAGGAGCTGGTGCCAGTGGATTTGTGTGATGTGCTGTCTGTGCTGCTTTGCCTCTCCTGTCTCTTCCTGTCTATCTTCCTTGTTTCAATAGAGATTATTGGCTATTGCTTTCTTGTCCAGTCTGACTCTAGTGGCACATCTAAGTGGATTGGTGTGAGAATGAAGAAAAGGCAGAAAGATATAACAATGGGACCCAAAGAAAAGCTGGGAATAGATGCTCTCTGTTCTCTGGGATGAAACCACAACACCTGCGAAGCTCTGTGTCAGTAATACCTATGTTTGAATAGAGTTAAAGATTTACTGCATGGTGATAAAAGAAAGGCAGGGTTACTATCTAGACCTATGCACATACTCATGCTTGGCACATCTCAGTACTTTCAGTCACTTTAGCCTTTAATTGTTGAGGTCTAAACATCTGAAAAGAGAAAATTATGTTGGAGAGTTTTTGCCCAAACTATTAAAATTCTCATGAGATCAAAGGAGGATTTTTAATGTTCCAAGCCTCAAGCAATGAAGGGAAGTTCATTTGCCTTTTTGTGTGTGTCTGTGTCTATGGTCCTTGATCTATCTCTGCCCATGTAAACAGCTCTAGTTCACTTACAGACATGATCAGGCCTTATGTTGTTCACCATATATACTTCCAATGATTGAATCCATGTAAACAGCTCTAGTTCACTTACAGACATGATCAGGCCTTATGTTGTTCACCATATATACTTCCAATGATTGAACCTTTTATAATTTTCCTAAAACAATCTACCTTGCCTTTTTATGATATGCTTTTTTGGTCATTTTCTGTAATGCAGTCACTGGCATTAATTACACAATATCAGTATAAAATGAATATCCAACATTCCAAAGCAGCAGAAATTGAACACAAATTTTATTGTATTTATTGATAATTGAGAAAAATTGGGGGCTGATTGGATGTTCAAACCATCAATATTATATTCCATAAAATCTCAAATATTAGCAACAAAATATTTATATAAAAGCTATAGCAGTCTCAGATCAATATCCTGTACCATAAAATATACAGAAAATTGTGCGGAGACTTTGACTTGATATAGTTATCCATAAAATTATCCTGGCATAAGTCTTAACATTTTAAATTTTTATTTCTTTCATATCTTGTCAAATTAATCCTATGTCATTTTAATATATGATTATTGTGTAATTCTGATTGACACATTGCTGTCTATGTAGATTGTTTTCCAAGGAACTTTTGTGAACATAAATTTTATTTCTTGGTAAAAATGTTTCTAAAATCACAGCAAGCATAAGGCTTCTTGATGTTTCTCTTCTGACACTGAGTAAGGTTTTAACATTTGCTAAAGTTTTCCTTCCACTACCCATACTATAGAGAATCCTTTTATTGCATGAGTTCTGGGGTAATAATTACCAATTGAGTTTGTTTCTTTCATAAATTTTCTTACCTGTTCTAAGTCTTGAGCTCCTTGTAAAGATTTTTTTTTTAATTCTTAACATGTGTTAAGTTTCTTCCCATTAGTGATACTCTGTTGGCTTGAATATTTGAGGACTCCGTATGTGAGGATCAAGATTTAAAAACCTAAATAAGGTTTTCCCACATGCTTTGTATTTGTAAGCTTTCTCCAATGTATGGTTATAGTGAGTTTATCCTGAGATGATCCATTGGAAAAGAATATAACACATAGCACATTCATTACAATTTTAAGGGTTCTGCCTTCAATGGGTCTTTAGTAGCCTTGAACATGTGGCAAAGGATTTGTCACGATCAGTATATTTTTAACTTTCTTCTCCATTTTGGATTCTTTGAAGGACTTGAAGTATTGAGGCCCTGGTAAAGGACTTGCCACATTCTTTACATCTGTAATGTTTCCTTCCTGTGTGGAGTTTGGGATGTCTTTGTAGATGTGAGATCTGTCCAAAGAACTTGTCACATTCTTTACATCTCTAAGATTTTACTCCTGAATGTATTCTTTGATGAATATAAAAATTTGAGCTACGAGTGAAATACTTTCCACAATCTAAACATTTGTAAGGTTTTTCTCCAGTGTGTATTCTTTGATGAACATGAATGTTGACCTCTGAGAAAATGACTTGCCACAATATGAACATTTATAAGGTTTCTCTCCAGTGTGTATTCTTTGATGAACATGAAGATTTGACCTGTGAGTAAAGGATTTGCCACAATCTGAACATTTATAAGGTTTCTCTCCAGTGTGTATTCTTTGAACATGTAGTGTTGACCTCCGAGTAAAGGACTGTCCACAATCTGAACATTTATAAGGTTTCTCTCCAGTGTGTATTCTTTGATGAACATGTAGTGTTGACCTCCGAGTAAAGGACTTTCCACAATCTGAACATTTGTAAGGTTTTTCTCCAGTGTGTATTCTTTGATGAACTTTAAGGTTGGGGCCTACAATAAAGGACTTTCCACATACAGCGCATTTATGAGGTTTTTCTCCAGTGTGTAATCTTTGATGAACTTTAAGTGTTGAGCTATGAGTAAAGGACTTTCCACATACATTACATTTGTAAGGCTTCAATCCAGTATGTTTTCTTTTATGATTTTGAACTGTTGAGCTCTGTGTAAATGACTTGTCACATATATGACATTTGTAAGGTTTCTCTCCAGTGTGGATCCTCTGATGAACTTTAAAATTTGAGGCCTTGTTAAATGACTTGCCACATTCCTTACATCTATAAGGTTTCTCTCCAGTGTGGCTCCTCTGATGAATATGAAGTGTTGAACTCTGAGTAAAAGACTTGCCACATGCTTCATGTATGAAAAGTTTTTCTCCTGAATCATTTCTCTGAGGAAGATGAAGAGAAAACCCATGGGCAAACAACTTGCCATACTCTGTACATTTAAAAGCATTCTCTTCAGTGTGGATTTTACAATGAGTTCTATATTTTGATTCATGGGAATGGAAACTGTCATGCTCTGGACATTTGTATGATTCTTTTGTCATATGGATTTTATGATGCTCCTCAAGTACTGAAAATGTAGAAAACAACTTTCCACATATTTTACATTTGCACATTTTTTCTCTAGTATGAACCACATTAATTCTGAAAAGGTCTGAGCATCTCCTGTAAATCCTTCCAAATATTTTATTAATTTGTCCAACACTGAATCTTGGATTCCCCTCAAATTTTGATGGGTGGGTAAAATACTGTCTACATGCTTTGAATGTTGGTTGTTTCCCATCAGTGTGTCTTGAGTCATTTTGAATAGCTGAATGGAAATTGCAGGATCTGAATGGAAATGATGCAGAGTGAGCTTTGTGAGGAGAAGCTGGAACTTCTTCATCTATACTGTCAGGAATGTCAGTGATGGCTACTACAAAAAGATCATTTCCATCAGCACATGTTTCATGCTTTTCATTGTCAGATATACATGTCCAGAACTCTCTTATGTGTAATTCACCGAGGCTATTACTTTCAAACTGTCCTGATATTTCTCTTTGGTAAGTATCCTGGGTACACTCTTTTGTGAATGACTCCTGAATGGGATAACAAAAGAGAGCTGGAAGAAATGAAAGGCAATTATTATCTAACTGTGTAGAATTAGACAATAATAATATAGAAACTTTTTTATAAAATGACACCAATATGAGGTAAGTAGCAAAAAGATTACACAAAAATCTTCAGTACTTCTTCCATAAGGAATTAATGTCCAAACATGATGAACACGGAGAAGGCCATTTCATGCACTTGAATTTTATAATATGTAAAATTTGAAAAGGTCTTCTTTAAGCATGTCATGTAACCAACAACTGTAAATATAATTGTTAGAATACAAAATGAAACTATTAGCCATTATTAAAAATATTCTGTTTATTTGGAAATTGCATTATCAATTTAAATCAAAATATCCTTTCTAAGCAGATAAATGATAAAGTGATAGTAATAAAAATATCATATATAGATTTTATTAATTCTATAATTAGTGATTAATTATTTAATACATGTTAATATGTAGTTACTCAGGGAGAGTAATTATTGAAAAGAAATGAATAAAATGATCATGAAAAAAATATGCCTATCAGGTCCACAGATCTTTATGTACATGAGGAGAGAATGTTTCAAAATCCCCACAATTACATTGATAATTCTATAGGTCTTTCAAATTTTCAGATGCCTAAGAATATCTTAAATTGATAAAAGACTGGCCTTTCATCTCAGCATTTGGAAGGCAGAGGCAGAGGCAGGTGCAGGTGATTATCTATGGTTATGAGGCTGTCCTGATCTACCTATTCATTTCCTGGCCAACCAGGGCTACATGGTTACACATCCTGTCTCAAAAAAGGAAAGGTAAGAAAAGTAAATTATCTGTTCAGGCAATTAAAAAAAAGCCAGTAGAGTCAATTAGGCAAAGTTGCCCTGGGCAACATTAAGATGGATGGGTTTCTCCCTTGTAAAATTAGTTGTCAGCAAAGCAAACCTTGATCTTGGCCTCAGTATGTCCTCTCCTAGTGTAACTAATGATAGAACCACCCCATATGGCCCTTCAATGTGAATCACAGTCTGACTTTTTCTTAAAGTGTTCTTCACTGACTTGAATGCCGACTTTGAATGGTGGCCAGAGTACGTTACAATCTGTTTTTCCAAAGTCTTAGATCTCTAATATGTTTGGATTCAAAAACACAAAAAAGCAAGCTGGACAGTGGTGGCACATGCCCCTAGTCCCAGCACTCAGGAGACAGAAGCTTTAATCTCAGAACTCTGGAGGCAGAGGCATGCAAATCTCTTTGAGTTCAAGGCCAGCTTGGACTAAAGAGCAAACTTCAGGACAGCCAGGACAGTTACACAGAGAAATACTGTCCCAAAAGAACATAAAAAACAGCAAAAACAACAAGTTGATAAATGACATGTGAAATTAACAATTTTTAAATGTAAATTTAATTTAAATATAATTATATCATTTCATTTCAGACTTATCCCTGCCACTTGCCTTTCAACTCTTTCCATATCCCCTAATAAATGATATGAACTCCATTTGATAATGGTTACTCATATGTATTTATGTGTATATTTTTCATATATATATATATACCAATTACCTATAATTACAAAATATTAGTCCAGACTTATTCTTAATGATTATATCATTTCAGGACTATTCATTTTGCATTAGACAAGCAATAATGAGGATAATCGATAACAGAGGATAATTCTCCTTGTCACACCATTCATTAGGTTTCCATAGTTCCTTGGTTAGGGATTTGAGATACAGGGACACTACAAATTGGGAAACAAAAAATCTGGATGGTTCTTCAGTTATAATGGAAAGCATGTCCATGGAAATGGTGAAAGAGGATTGAGAGACAAATAACACCAAGGTTTTCTGATAATTCCTCAAGAAAATATATTATTCTGTATTTTCCTGCAATTCTACACCACATAAGTGTGAGACATAAGGGAAGTAATGACTTCCAGGCTGACAATACCACACAAAAGAACCAGAGATTAGCATCAACCTTAACATAAAAGCATAAGAATCAAAATTTCTGGTATAAAATAAATGTTATGTGTAATGAGGATATTATGACTTTATTCTTTTCTATCTGTATCCCCTTGAACGTCAAATTATCTTAGACTGACACTTAAGAATTTAATCAGAACATAAAACAGGTATGGACAGAGTGAGTATTCTTTATTTTCCCAATTTTAGAAGAATTGTTTTGAGTTTTCTCCATTTAGAATGATTATATTGGTAATTAGCCTGTAATAAACACATTCTATTATATGGAGATATGTTCCTCCCACTACTGAATTTTTATAATGAAGGGATGATGTACTTTGTCAAAATCATTTTCTGCATTGAATGAAGAGAATATTTGATCTCTTTCTTATAGTCAGTTCTCCAAATGTATTCTGTGTATTGGTTTACTCATGTTGATTCCCATTAGCATCTCTTGGTACATAATTATTTAGGGGTATTCTTGAAATGAAAATATTCCATTTTGTCATATAATTAGAAATGTATTGGTGTTAGTGCTTCTCTGATGGTCTGGTGGGATTCTGTTCTGAATCCATTTGGCTTTCTTTAGTTGAGAGATTTTTTTTATTCCTTCTATTTAATTTCATAGCATGTGATATGATAAATTATTTAGGTCACTTGATTTATCTCTGTTAGGGTACATGCTAAGAAATTCATTCATTTGTTTTTGATATTATATATATTGTGGGTAAACAGACGGAACTGAGAAAAATTATCCTAAGTAACTTAACCCAGAAAGACAAATGCTGCATATTTTCTCAAATTTGTGGATGCTAGCTTTCAAGGTTTTGGTCCCTATGTTTTCTACAGAGTTTAGGTTGTTGGTATGGGGCCAATGGGGATGTAGATTTTTTCCACAGAGTGGATAATTAAAAATAGTACTGTTTAAAAAAGACAGAAATTAAAACAGTATTACATCATGAAAGTTATGATAGAGTAGTGTAGAAAAGCAAACACAAAGTGGAATAACAAAGAATACAGTCCTTTCCATGATAATCTTAGAAATATATTTATATATTTATTGACTGTATATATGTGGTCATATATATGATTAGATGGTAGTTTCAATAAACCTCTTTCCACTGCCTGTGTCTTGGTTATTGAACTTTGATCATCAGATTTGAAGGAAAGCATCTTTATCTTTATGGACCACATGAGAAATCTTTTGAAGAAAAATAGGGAATCATACTTCTGTAGAAGCTTGATAAAACATGTACATGCCTAAAAACTATTTAAGTGTCATTACTGTACAATGGTGTAGTAAATACCCAAACTTTAGATCATATCCAATAAATAAAGTCTAATATATAAATAATGGGTTGCATTGTTTTCTTTTTTTTTTTTTTTTTTTTTCGAGTTAGGGTTTCTCTGTGTAGCTTTGCGCCTTGCATTGTTTTCTTGTGTTTCAAGAAAACATAGCATGAATTGCCTTTGTGATTAGTTACCATCCAGAACCCAATGATAAGGCTCACATATTTAAAACATTGCCGTAAAGCCAATTCCATTGTTGGAACATGTACCTTAAGGTTAATGTAGCCAAAAACTGAGACCAAATTGGTCATAAATCCAAGATAAGAAAACTATGATTATTCTGCTTAGTGAAAATGAAATTAAACTAATGCTATATTCTTATACCTATAGATTTGTACATCACTCATCCATCACTAGAAAAGTGTAATATGCAGATTTTTGAGAACTGAGCCCTGTCTTGGATTCCTTTATCTTAACCCTTGCATCAGGGTTCAGATACCTATGAAGAAATGGATGCAGAGAGAATGTAAAGTCAATAAATGGTAAATGACTCTAGGGAAGAAAAAGTTTACAAACATCTTAGGACCAATGGCCGTACAATCACCAAGTATATGACAGTAAGGTCAAAACCCACAAAAACTCAAAACAGACAAAATCTCAACTTATAAAATGGAAAGTAGGCCCAAAGACAAAACTTTTGGACAAGAATATATGTATTGTCCCTCGCTTCCAGAAGTAAGAAAATCTGGTTTTCAATTGAGTAACACCAGGGTATATCAATCATACTCAAAGTCTTGTGTTCAGAACCAGTTGGCCAGCACAAATATTCCTTGATTTTTTTTTATGTATTTTCTCTTCTTTCTTTGACATAGAGAATGAGATGGGGTGCAGGAATCATGACATTGGGTTAGTGTGGTAAAGGGATAGTATGCAAAGAGGTTAAAAGAAATACAATTCAATTGATCCAGATACAGTGTGAAAATTTCCCAACAAAACAGAAAAAATCTAGGATCACTGTCATACAGGAGAAAAATTCAGACATTTATTAAAAAACAAAATAAATCCCCACATACATTGTCAAATTGCTACTGACATACTTAATTTCATCTAATCACCATTATCATGAAATGAGAGAAGATAATGTAAAATTCTCTGTGTGCTAGATCCTAGTACACAATTCTAAATGAAATTCTCAGGCATTGCTTGTAGTGAGGAGCTAGGCTAATCCCACTGCAGTTATGGTTTTTCTTTAGTTTGTACTCTACATATAAACTATTGTTTCCTTCCACCTTACCTGGTTCTGTGTCTTCTGCTTGCTCTATATTCACAATCCAAGGTTCTTTGTTCTGTTCAAGACAGGTGACTAGCTCTGGTTTTGATACAGAAAGGCCTGTGAATTAGGAGAGACACCATAATTTCTTTACATGATGTGGAAAAGAGTTGGGTTCTAACACAGGCTTATACTCTGTGGATATGAAGTTACATAAGAAAAGATTCATAAGTAAACTCTTATTAGTGCATAGGTGACAGGTGTTGTAGACTTTTAAGAAATTTATAATTTTAATTTTGTATACATTCAACTTTTGTGGTGAGCCACAAGAATATGACATAGGGAGACCAGCTGTATATAATAAGCTATACCTTGACTGATCAAGGTTGTCCTTCAAGAGAAAAGCCATTTATCATGGCTTTCTGCCTCTGAGATCCCTGCTCTCTTTTTAGTATTTGAATTGGGTATCTGCCTTTTGCAAACCTCCCCTTTAGCTATGATCATCCCAAACAAAGCACTGAAGGATTAGCAGGGAACAGGAATTAGCTCAGACTATTCCTTGTCTTCAGGCCTAGTAGCATTCCAGAGCAATTGACTGAGAATAAAGGAGGTTTTTGTACATCCAGGTGAAGTGATAGGTGGTACAGCATTCCTGTCTGACACAGACCCATGTTGCTAGAGAGAAGAGAAGAAGACAGAGATTCTGTAGAGGGTAAGGCAGATTTCTTGAAGAATTTTCTGAGAGTCAGGAGTAAGGAGCTAGAAAGGAGAGATGAAGGACAAAGGAACAGAGGATGAAGATGAGGTCAAAAGCATAAGGGCTTAGTAATTCCTGGGGCTACTCAGGACAGACAAAGTAGATACAAAGAGGAACCAAGACTCAGGATGGAACGGAAGCTGTAATATATAGAATTTTTTCATAGAGGAATAAAGTAAATTGACAAGGAGTAAGGTATATGTATATTTCTTTTTCCTCAGATACCCTACACTAGATCGAGCATCTTGCACAGTATTATGGGAGAAATTTTCTCAGGGCTGGCCTTGGGAAAATTCCATTAAACTTTTCATACATTACCCCCATTTTAAAAATAAAAATGTTGGAATCATACCGCATTCACACATTATTGCTACTGAGTGACTGCAAATAACCAATATATGGGACTAAAGGGAGTATTCGGCTAAATTAAAAGACCATTTAGAATAAGAAAAATTTCAGTGTATATTACACTTACCAATATATAGGAATATTTGGAAGCTGGTATTCATTGATAGAAAACAATTCAAAGTGTTAATACAAGCTGTTACATATTCCTAAGGCTAAACAGCAATGATGAAAGAATTTATTCTCACCTACAGAAACTAGGTTGCTGTAGTTCTCCAACATGACCTCTCTGTATAAATTTCTCTGAGCTGTGTCCAGGCATTCCCATTCTTCTTTGGAGAAACTGATGGCCACGTCCTTGAAAGTCAATGGATTCTGAAGTGAAAATTCAATTTTTCTTTGTTATGTTGGTTTGAGTCCTTATTTGCCCCAGGAAACAGTATTTAACTAAAGAACTCTCTGTGCTATCAGTAATCAATCTGCAATTTTCAAATGTTATACATTAAGGGGGAGGATGTTGTGACATTTTCATGAGATCAAAGTGCCCAACATCTAAACATTTCATGAAATATATGACTTTTCTCAGTGATAAGTAATGTTGGAAGTTGCCCTCTGTATCAATTGAGTTTCAATATTCATCTCTAATATCAGAAAATCTGTCAATATTTCAGGTCATGAACTGATGTAGATAAGTCATACTGGGAAATAAAAGAGGCAGGGAAGAGGGGAAAGCAGGATATAAAACAGAAATGACAGTGATAATACAGAATTTATTTCAAAAATATAACAAAATATAAAAATATTATTTTCTTACAATGAGGAACTATCATGAGGGTTGAGAGCTCTGCAAATGAAGCATTTATGTGTGAAATGTCAACCTGTCCCATCCTTGTGCAAACATTTACCTGAGACCATGCCATCTGTTTGTCCCATCTTTTGGGTATTGTCAGGAAGTTTATCTTAAAGTTTCACCTTTCTGATACTATTCTGTGAGAAAATGTAACAGCACCTGCATTCAATGCTATCACACTCAGAGACCAGAAAGCAGGTAAAAATATCCACAATCTGTGACTTGGGATACAGCAGGGATGCAGAAACCATGAACTTTTACACATAGATCAAAACTTAGCTTCTCCTTTATTCCATTGGGATGTCCATTATTCCAGCAGATTGTGGAAATCTCTACAACCTGGGTATGTGGCTTCAGTGCTCTGCTTTATACTGTGCACAGACATTTTAAATTTGCTCTGAATACAGCTGTAAGAAGTTGTGGTGACTCCTTCCTCTTATTCCATTTCCCTGAGATCTTTAATTAAAACCTGACTGACACCTGTATTTGAAATAGTGGATGAAGTCTGAGGAAGAGCCCCAGCTGAAAACATTTCTCACACTGGGTAAGTAATACACTTGCCTACAGCCAAGGCCCAGCAGGAAACTGATGCCTCACTAATGTCTCCCTGGAGGCATTCTTTTTAATTTCCATGTTCCTTTCGGAAATTCCACTATTTTACAGTTTTGCAGTGAGACAAATGATTAGATTCTCCCTTAAGTTTATTTTAAACAGTGAATATGCTTCTTTTGAATTCACATGCAAATTTTGTAACTAAATAATCACATCCCTGCAGCCAGATTAGTACTTTTGCTTCTTATTGAAGACACTTCAATTCCAACCACTTTAATTTTCCATGTTGAAACTTTTTGATTGTTTGTGAAATCCACATAAATATAAGTACATTTTGCCAACCAGTTCTCCATTAGTTCATTTGATCAAAAATGTACTATATAACCATAGGATGTAACATTGAATCAACTCCCAGGGGAGTGATTGTTAGCAGGTGTCAGCACAATGGAAGAGCATTGCAAGTTTACTGTAAGGTTAGTAGCTAGCAAACAGAAACAATGGAATAGTCTCTTTGAATCTAGTCACAAAACAGAATAATAAACAGAAGAAAATTTTCCTGATAGGATAATTTTGTACCACCTTACGACTGGAAAATTTCATTTGGAAGTTTGTATTACATTTGAACACTTCAGCGTAGTACATAACACAGTATAATTTCATAGAAATACTACTTTAAACATTATCCATTGTCAGGAAGACATTCCATCCTTTTACATAATGCCTCTTTTCTGGAATAGTCTATATTGAGCAAATAGATACCTGGCCAAAAGGACCATGGAACATGGTTTCTTTCTCATTTGTATGAGATGATTCAATTCCATTTTCAGTAGGACATGTATATGAATGTATATTTGTATATCAAATAAATATACTATACATTAATGCAGAGAATTTATTTTGAAAAAAATCAAGTGAGAAAGTAGTGGAAAGATGCATACATTCATGGGACATTCATTCAAAAATCTTTACCTTGACTGCATCCGAAAAAGAATAAAGCCTTGTAAAAACTGAGAGGTAATATAAAGGTTTGGGATCACTGCAAAAAAGCATTTGTAGGAGAACAGGCAACAAATCTCACCTCCATACATACATTTACCTGAGAAAAAGCCATCTCTCTTTTCCCTTCCGTCTGGATCCTCTTAGGAAACTTTATCTCAAAATTTCACTTTCCTGAAAATATGTTGGTTTCAAAGCAAGAAAAGCCTTGTATAATTTCTAACACACTAAGAGACTGGAAGGAGGATCAAAAAGCTCACTCTCTGTACTTTAATGGAACAGTGATGTAGAACAACATGAGCTTCCAGAGGAAGACAAAAGTGTAGCTTCTACTTTCCTGCATTCAGGTAGGTAGACTGTTTGGCCAGCATGAATGACTTTAGTACAGACCTGGCAAAATGGTTAAATTGACTTGCTAGACCTAGCAGAGTCAGGTGGGCATTTCAAATTGATGCTGAGCACAGCTGACATCGAGAAGCATTAATGAATCTTATATTTTCTTACTCTGTGGTGGTTGATTAAAGCAAAATGAGGCTTCCATGGAGGATAACACACAGTATCTGTGGGGTATTTAAGATGAAAGTAATTCTTCAACTGGGTAAAAAAATGTAGCTGCTTGTGTCCAAGAAGCATGAAGGCAATGTATTCCCCTCTACAGTCTCCACTGACTTTTTCTATTGGTTACCATAATACAATTTATAATATGAAGATTCTGCAACTTTGCCATGATATCCATGATTAAAACTTTCACAAATATATTTTCACAATTACATTAATTCACCCAGGAACACTGTTAAGTAATTATGGGTGAAAAATGAGGAGACAGGCACTGGTGGTACATACCTTTAATCCCAGCATTCGGCAGGCAGAGGCTGGTGAATCCCTGAGTGTTCAAGGACAGCCTGGTCTACAAAGTGAGTTTCAGGACAGGGTCCAAAAGCAACACAGAGAAACCCTGTCTTGAAAAATCAAAAAAGAAAAGACAAATGAGAAGAGACAGGTGGTATTTTTAAATTACGTGAGTCCCTTAGAAACCTCTAATACCTTAAGTTTTTGTGAAAAATACTGAATTCCATCCTTTAACATCGTTTTTTTTTTTGGTCAATTTAATATATATTGTTGGTTACAAAATGCCCTCCTACATCAGCCTGATTTACAAAACAGGATTTTATTTATTTAATTATAAAAGAAATTCATGGAACACCCTCTGTAAGTGACATTGACAACATAGAAATCTGCAGACATAATCAGTTTATCTTTGTTTTCTACATGAATTACATAGTAATTACTCAGACACTTCATTTATATTTGGAATTAACTAAAAAGAAATATTTTTTTGTCTTTTTTCTTGCAATAAGGTAAGGTATTTACTAGAATCAGTGCTGTATGACATGCAGAAATGAAGAAAGGGCAGGAATTTCATGGTGTTGTTTTAATATCCATGTTCAATTTTCAGTTCCTACAACCTATGCATATTTTTTTCAATAGGATTCTAATAAACATTAATTCCTCTCATTAAAAGGAAAGTCAAATTTTCAAAAGCCCTAAACAAGGTTAAAGAGAAACTAATTCTAACCTGAAGAAAATGCAATGTCCTTGTTTGGGTAGAAAATTCTGCAGCATAACCACCTCATTCATAAATGAATAAAACTCTCACCACAATCCAGATATGTATGTCAACATTCTGCCGAACAAAAACATACTGGAACTCAGAGAAGGAAGAAGGAAATAAAACTAGGGGCTGATTTAAAAGTAACCAGTTTAGAGAAATAGACAGAAGCATAATCATAACAAATAACACCAGCCATGTTCTTCTCCTTACTCACAGCAAGCATAACAATTACAACTATTAATTTGCCTGTATTTTCCCAGCAATTTATTTGGTAAGTGAATGCAAACTAATGGCTTCCTACAAGACAAATCTGGTATCTGAATTGCATGGTTATTAGATACAGAGTATCATGTAGTCTCTGACTCTATCAATTCCATACCTGCAGAAGGCACAGTAGACTCACTGAGATTAGGTGTGGAATCTGCCTGGACAGTGAAAAGATACCTTCTGTAACCATGCTTTTACCACGAGGTTCTATACCAAAGATTTTTAATTTAAGAGCAAGGAGAGTATATATCTAGAACAACTTAATGGATGTTTTGTCCTGAAACAGACACATTTCAATTCATGGACATAAGGCAGAGAAACACTACAAACATATGCTCCACTAGGTTTGAATTAAATGCTGACTCTTTTCTCCTAATAAACTGGGATTTACACTTGGTCAAGTACAATTAGAAATAATTTTTCTAAGTCAGGAATAACCTATTTCTCATAAATCTTTTCTCCCTTTTTCCTTGTAGTTTCTCTTTACTGTTGGCTCCAATTATTACTGCTCTGAGGAAAGGACAAAAGTCATCTGAACTAGTTTGTGATACATTGGAAATGGAAAGTACAGTGTACTTTCCTTGAAATTTTAATGAAATGGAACAATATGTCTCTATAACTACACATAAATAAGCTTGCACTTGATTAAGTCAGACACATGATAAAGCAAGTACGCAGTGAGCAGAGTCTTACATTATTCAAGAGCATACTTCAGCTTAGGGACCCACAGTGTCTTGCACCTTAGTATTCAACTACTTTACTTAATTGACACAATTAAGATAAGACCCAGTATGATTGACATAATTTGTTCCATAATGGCAATTCTCCTTAACATGTGACAAAATCATTTGTTATAGAGGACTAATGTTTTCTAAGGACAGACCTAACTCCCTTCACACAGTGGCAAGGAGCTACCACACGGAAACACACAGATACATACACACCACACAAATATGTGTACACACAACATTAACAAAACAGAAGATGCATACACTATTCTATACTGTTGAATAATTGCATTTAAGGAGGCCACTGATTTCCTGGAAATGTGTGATCTATAGTATCTGTTGTCATGTAAAAAATCCTTCATTTTAAATTCTCTGTGGGATTCAGGTCTTTGAATATGACTTCCTAAATCCAGATCATACCAAATTCACAATGTGACCATGAGAAACAGAGAGAACACCACAAGTTTTGAAAAGTCAGTGGATTTTGGCTGTGTTTCACATACTTTCCAGTCATGTTCAGTGAAGAAGTCTACTAATGCTCACAAGATCCATGCTCATAGGAAAACTGATATTTCATGAGAGAAAACCAACAACACACACTAAGATAACTGCTTGATGACATCAAAGCAGTTTATAGGAAAAAACATTCTGTGCAAAAACAAACTAATTAAAATAATAATAACCAGGGCAGGATGATCACATTTTTATGAACATTGGTACAGATTTGAAAGAGACAAAATAGAAAATTATAAAACAGAACAGACAGAATTGAGGGTCCCAAAAAGAGAGGCAGTAGCAGAACCTGAGAGAAGTGATGGTTCAGATCCATTTTGTGCCTATCTAAGACAATTGAGAGTGGTTATGACAAGCAGGGGCTAACTCTGAGATCACAACATCATGAGCTAAACAAAGTCTTTATCCATGAAGATGACATAGATCTCACTTCTTCAATAAAATGAGTAGTCTTTTGTCCATGTGCTCCATCAACTATTAAAATCTGGACAAATCATAACAACAGAAATTGAACCAGGTAGCCTTGGAATGAAATACCACAGGCAAGAGTTCAAACAAGCTTTTCTTCATTTGAGATGATTTTCCTCAAATCTCATGAACTTATTTGCTTTCACATGATAGTATAGGTATACACACACCTACCACATGAACACACCACATGCACTTAATTTTCCGAGTTTTCTGTTGGAGTCATCTTTCGGTGTAACAGAACTCAGTATTTCTTTTACTTATTGAGTTTTCTGTTAATGTTTTTATTGGGGGAAGTCTTATTTATAGATAAGTATTCAGTTGTCTATGGAAAAAAATCAAAACTTTGCCTTAAAGTATGGGAAAACAGGCAAAGAAAAGAACACACTAGATTTACTTCTTATATCACTTAAAATATAGAAATTTTCTTACAGAATAAATGCAGTCTGCATTATGAATATACCTCCAATTGTTGGTGTTTGAGTGGTTTGATTTCTAGTAATAAATACAACATTTCTTCTACTCTTGGGAATACTCTAAGCTCCAATATGACACTGACTCATTGTTAAAATCAGCATGGTATATTCTACAATGTTAGATAGGTACTAAGATTAAGGAAATTTTCTGTGAAGTTTTATGACATTAAGAAAATATCAAGTATAAGTATTTATTCAAATTATACTCCACATCATTCTGTTAAATGATTAAAGAGTGACAATAATCTTCAATAAAATTGTTGTAGATGAGTATGTGTGATGTATGTTATCTGTATCTGTGGGTTTCCCCATCATGATCTTGTCATGTAATCCTTCCTCCCTCTCTATGACTGGACTCCAGGAGCTCAGCCCATTGCTTAGCTAGGGATCTCTGCATCTGCTTCCATCATTTACAGTCACAGCCTCATGTGGTACTGATAAAGATTCAAAATCATTCTTCTAAACCACTAATATTAAATGCAAAAATATTGTATGCAACTTCTCCTCATAGTAGTCAAAGTATTCCAAGTATCACACTTGGCAAACATTTATGTTATAACTACCAGGAATGACTACTTTTATAAGGTAAGACCTTGCCAGAACATGATGTTATGTCATACAAATAAAAAATAAAAAACCAAAGAAAAACATCCAGTTGTGTGCAAATTTATTCAACACATATCTGAAGTGTTCTTTAAATACTAATACTGTTTTTAAAATTTCTTTGTGGGTGTATGTGTGTATATTTGTCTGTGTATGTCTCTTTGTGTGACGTGTTTGTATTTGTGCTTGTGTTTGTGTGTATGTGTTTGTGTGGTGTGTGGTTTATGTGATCTTTGTCTCTGTTTATGTTTGTGTGACTTTATGTTTGTGCACATATTTGTGTGTATGTGTGTTTTTGTGTTTGTGTGTATAATTTGTGTTTGAGAGCAGTGTGTGTATTTTTGTGTGGTGTGCATGTTTATATGTATATTGTTCATGTATTTTTGTATGTGTGTGCATGTGAAAGAGAGAGGTGTGTTTGATGTGGGTATCTGTTTGATGTGTAGTGCACATACATGCTAGACCTCATATATAGTAGCCAATGAACAACTTTGAGGACTTGGTTCTCTCTATCATGAGTTACCAGGATCAAGCTTATTGCACTTGTATAGCAATGTGCTGTGACTTGATGAGTCATCTCAACATCTCACTAATACATGTAAACAAACTTTATAAAATAATTGCTGGCACCTAAAGTCAGTGCAAATATACTGTCTGGTGTGATTGCTTTTTGAACAAACAAGAACTAACTCAGGTTTACTACTTATCCATCTTAGGTAAATTTTATGATTTGGGAGATTTTAGTGATTAATATCATTTTATCTAACACAACATATATCCACTGGTCTAGGAAGCTGTTAACACCAGTTTGAAACTTCTCTAGTGCTAAACATTAGATAGATACCTTTGTCACAGGACGAAGTTGGCAACTCTAGATATACAAATTATAATACCATCCATTAGTATTGGCAGGTGATGGGGAAGTCCTTAAACTTTAAAATACATGTATTACATGAACTAGCAAATAATCACTCTAGTGTGAAGATTCCACATGATGCTAACTTGAGAGATCCTTCTTCTCTGAAACTCTCCAAGGCTCCAAATTACAAAGACCAGCATTAAATAATTCTTATTTAAAATTCCATTTTCTAGTATCCATCTCCTAACTGGTATGAGTCAGAATAACTCAGATTGTGTTGAGTAAGCTGGAGTAAGCTCTTCTTGCAATCCTGACAAGCAGTAAAACTTGGTTACCATTATCCTAAACTTGTTGAGTATTTGTTTTCAATCCCCCATGTCATTCCCTCATTGAATGGCACCATGGATGTGAACAAATGCCCTCAGTCTCTGTGGACTCTCTTATATAGCTCTATTGGCTGAACCACTTTCCTTTCTAACCCTACAAGAAACAGTAAACTCAGACCTTCTGATTTAACATGAACCTTTTATTATTAATAAAAGCACATGATATATAATCCCAGCATTCAGAAGCCAAGAGGAAAGATGCCATGAATTAGTGTCATCCCTGGGCTAGAAAATAAAACAACAAAATAATTTTATTCAAGATAGTAAGGAGATGCCTAACAAATTCAACTTCTTTGCAGTCAGAAAAATCACATTTTAGGTACCTTTTTTTTTATTCCAACATTCTTCTGTTGGTGCAATTAAATTCTCTAAGCAGAAGCAACTCAGATAATTAATAGGTTTGTTTGTTTTGTTTTTTGTTGTTGTTTTGTTTTATTAATACCTCTAGGCCTCAGTCCCTCCTTGTGGGAGCTTAGGATAGAAGTCAAGCTAATAAATGAAGGGAAAATATAAGGAGGCATTGCTTCCTGGCTTTCTCTCTTGCTCTGTCACTGTCTCATCCTAAGCTAGCTCTCTTATCCAGCCCAGGCCCTCTTTCTTAGAGATATTACCAACTCAG